GAACTATGTGTCATCTTTGCCTATAAGCATAAACTTGCACAGCGGGCAGTACGGTGAAAACAGCTTATCATCAACTCATCACCTCTCATCATTGTTAGAATGAAATGCAAATGGAAACGAACATCACTTCAGTCATGGTTGTGAAAATTAGCATCTGTGACATTAACAGTGGCTCATTTATTATGCACTCAAAATTTCAGGGGGAAAGAAAAGAATGTAAAACTTGCTATTTTCAGAACTCTACCAGTCTTTACCTTTGAAATAAAATTAAAACCCTCAGCTTTCGCCACTCAAGGGTAAATCCTAGTTAATATTCATTAACACTGAGCAATCTCTTTACTGCAGATCTTGTCCTACAGAAGATCTAATTATATCTTGAATTATTTTTGGTGTTTAGGTTTGCTGCACCTATTTTCTATTTTCTTTTCTTTAATAAGTATTCCCCATTAGAGAGTCACAAACCACTGTCTAACAAAAGAGCAGCACTGAAAATCTTGCTTATAGCATCTGTCTGCACTACAGGTTCCAAACACTTAGACAGGCGATAAACTTTACTCAGATGACAAATCCCATTGAAATCAATGGGATCACAGGTAATTTATTCATTTAAGTGTTTTCAGAGTCAGGATCAGGCTTTCTGTGAAGAATATATAAAAAGGGGAAATACTGGCCTGAAGTCTATGGCAAAAATGTGCATTGATTTCCATGGAGGCATTTAAAGCTTATAAAAGAGGAAAATTATTGGTATGGAATAGTACTAGGGAACAAAGTTGCCCATTAAAATACTTCCTCACATTGGATTTGCCACTATTTTCCCATAACCCTGAAAAAAAATAGTAGTCTATCACTTAAGTAAGCGAATATTGATTTAATTAGAAGCTTGGACATATTTTTGCCTAAACAAAATGCACAGGCATTGACCCTGAATTGTCTTACACACCAGAAGTAAGCTGAGTTTCAAGCACCAAGCACATTTGGAAGCAGAATAAGGAAACAAAAATGTCTCAAACCTTTAGCATAAACATAGATCAACTGTCATGTAGAATAACGACACAAGACTTCCTTCAGCCAAGCCAGAAAAAATGGCACAAAGTCGTCTTTTCTTCAGCTTGAAGTAAAGCCAAGAATCGTCAGGCAGTTCTCAAGTTTGGTGTGTCCGTAGGAATTTGAGAGAGAGAGAGAAAGGAATAGGCTCTGCCCAGCACATTACATCTCGTGAAGCGAGCAAGACAACTCAGGGATGTTTTACAGATTATTTGCACCTCCCATTGTCATTTGCACATGGTCAAATGTGTAAAACAGTGCAAAGTGGAATGTAGTGTAGCTGAAAAATGCTTCAACAGTGTTTTATTTGTATGGTGCCAGGATATGGTGCTGCCTGAAGCATATACAAAAGAGAAGGCTAGATCCTGTATAATATCTTAGAAACTTCTTGCTTACCATCTTCCTAATCTGTTTCATGCCACTTCCCAGATATGCTGACATCTGTAATGTCATAAAGGCCAAAGAGACTAAAATCCAGGTGATTTTAGGGGTCCTTCTCTCATTCTCTAAGTCAACTACTGTTCTCCTCTCCAGCTCTCTAAGGGGTGGTGGGTCAGATTGCACAAACTCAGAGCTGAAACATATATAGTAAAAGCATCCTTCCCCCTACTTCCTATAGTATTTATGGCTCTGCAGCTAAAACTTCAGCAATGCAGGAGACACACGCTCTCCCTAAAGCAAGCTGATGGTGCCGAGGCTGACCATGGCCATCAGCATGACCACGAACCTCAGGGCTATGTGCAAGACCTAGTTTGTTTGACCTCACCTGCCCGCAAATAACACTGCAGCTCAAAACATCTACACCGTATAAACCAAGTCATGCCTCGCCTGACGGAAAAAAAAGGGGGGCGGGTGAGGACTGCAAGGAGGTGCTGAGAGAGAGCTAGCTCGTGGTGGATGCCCTGATGGGAGGTGCACAGGTTCTGTTGTGACAGAAAGTCATTTAAGGTCCTGGATAGACAGATAGGTTAGATGAGACAGGCTTGAAATAGAGAGCTTAGCCCTTCAATTGATTGAATTTCTTCAATATTAAGCAGGGTATTTTTAAGCCTTAGGACTTTTCCTTTATAGCTCAGCTACCTGAGTCCTCAGCTGATGTACGAGGTATAAATGCACAGTTCCACAGCAGTACGTGCATCTGCAATGATAAACACTGACGAAGGATCAGAAACCTTCCAGTGTCTCTTTTGAAAACATTTCTCTCACATCTCTCTCCCAATTTGCTTTGAGATGACACTGGGTGTAAATTTTTTTTGCCTAACAATGAATGTTTATTTATATAGTTTATATACAATGCATTCAGTAGTTATAAGCTTATCCATGCATACACAAAAGCTGCCAGATATGCAAAGAAGTTACTAGCATGACTGCAGCACTACAGAAACTCTGTTGGATAATGAAAAAAACTACAACACTACTATTTCATGGCATAGTATCGACCTTTTCATAGCAGACACTGAGAGCCCTGAGATGCTACTTTTTGTCTATGTAGCATCTAACGTGTCTGCAGAAGTCCCTTAAGCACCACAGTAATAAATAAAGTAAATGGATTACACACAGAGAACTGGCAGTTAGATACTGAAAATCTGTAATACTCCTCCATTGGTCATTGACTTGCCCACCACTACTTGAGGCTTTATGCAGGGACATCAAATTGCCTTGAGAAGAGTTTTAAACCCAGCCTTGCATGGTATTCCTCCATTTTTATCAAAAGGCATAATTAGATGCCAATATTCTTCACATTAGGAAGTAATGAAACCAAAAGGATTAAAAAGAAAATCTTGGTAAAACACTTGAATTAATGCACGGACGTTCATATAATTGTGATAAAGACAATTGGTGACAGTAGTTAAGATTTGGTAACCTAAAAAGATCTTTTTGGTGTTCTCTTTGATGACCTAAGGTTGCAAACCTGATTTTCACTTGACACTCCAGACCTCGTGGCTCTCCCACAGGTCTTGTGTCAGTCCTGTGTGGGTGTGTTGGAGACACTGGGACATCTAAGCTGCCAAAAGGCAAGGTGAGGTAGCCCAAGACCTCCTTAGCAACAACAGCATCCTGCCCTGTGAGGATGAGGAGGTACCAAATGTTGCCTGTGCAGAGCAGGGGCAGCCAGGATGTGATCTAGGCAAGTCACTTGTGAAATCCTGTAACTTCTGTCAGAAGGTAAGGACCTGTGCCCCGTGTTACCCAATCCACTATTAAGCAACTTAAGTATTTGCGTGGCTTCCATGGGGAATGTTTTGAAACATGCTACAACAAGCTAAAATTTCTATTCTGTGCAACATGGGGCTGTCTTCTCCCATGCCCTTTTTGTGAATAGCATATTCAGAAAAACATTCCGTTGTGGAAAGTTTACACAAAAGTGGGACTACAGTAGGTGAAGTGTTTCAAAGCATACTACTGAGAAAGACATTCTGAACCACTTCACCAAGACCTTTCCATTTTCGTAAACATTTACCATAAGAGACAAAGTTAGCACAGCAAATTCAGCAGGTTTGATACTCAGTCAAGTGTTAGGCTCTTTTTATCCCTGCTTTACATGTACAGTGAATTAAATCCATGACCATGATACATATATAGAGATATATATATATATGTGTATGTTTGAGAAGCCACAATGCCAACATTTTAATAGCATGGAGTGCATTCATGAATGAATAACTGTGTAAAAAAAAAATTAAAACAAATGTAAGTCAGACTGTTGTTAAGGAATGTCTTATTCTGGACAGTGACCAAAACTGGCTTTTGAAAATATTTAGCAGACAGGAAAACAAAGCCTTTCCACTGAGTCCCTGGTGGTCATTTCTTGCTTAACCTATAGTGTGATTAGATATTAGTTCTACTTCTTCCCTACCATTAAATAACAGTATGATGATTGAACAGAATGCATATCATACCAACCAGTGAAATGCTTAAAAAACATTAAAATCTGTGAGAAAATGGATTAAAAACGGTTTCAAATCCATGGAAAACTTTAATTTTATTTGATAATGAGTCATAGTCTAAAACTGCAATTGCAGTACACAAAAGCCAATGCTGTGTAAAACCAGAAGACGTTCCTGCTGGAATACTATCTACAATAATCTTTTAGGACCCAGAAGTCACTAAGTGAGGTGTATTCCCAAACAATGAGAAGATAGGTCTGTAAACTATGAGACACTGAGTTACTGAGAGCAAAGATGTACTAAAAGGCTTTTCTAATCTCTTAGTTAAATTTTCAGCACTGTCGAATTGAGGCAGAAACGGATACTGAAGTGCTCAGGTCTAGAAGTAGCTGTTTCTCTTCAGGCTTGCGATACACTTGCAAAGGTCATCTTGCACCCAGTTCAGGGACTGAAAATAAATTTCTATCACAGGACACAACCTTATGCATCTTGCAAAACTCTCACTTTCTTTCTTGCAATTCCAGATTGTGGAAAGTGTCCAGTGTAGCACATTATCAATTTATTCAGAGCATTTCTTTCAGGCTAAAAGTATAATCATTCCCAGAAAAGTGAAGATGACAAACACTGATTGCCAAGTACCTTCTCCTCCTTTGGTTACGGTAATGCAAAAGCAAATTTAATAAAATAAGAACACATTTAATAGCTTTTCTAATTCTTCCCTGATTCTCACACTTTTTGGTGGGACATCATGTTTATCATAGATGAAAGG